CCAAGTATTATTTAAAAAAAGGGCATTAATTTCCTCGGTCATGGCAGCCCGCCATTCGGGTTTGCGAACAGCCTGTGTAAAGCATGTGGGTTCGTCAGTGGTAAGCAAAACTGAAAGAGCATGATGGAGAGGATACCGGATAGAGCCATCAGTCCAGGACTTGGGTTTACGCGTGCCGTCTTTAGTTCGGGTGACCATGGGATGAGATGGAAGCATAAGTGGTGGTGACCGTGACTGGGTAGCGGCAGGCTGCGGTGGAGAAGCAGCAGAAGTAGGTAGGTCATTGTCATGTGGCATTGACTGGCCATCATTAGAGGAGGAGCCCACGAGACCAAGAGAGGTAGGGATGGGCAATGAGCAAGCAAATTGTGGGATGGCAGTAGGATGAATTTCCAGCTCCACATATGTGGTTGGTGGCTGGCCGAGAGAGGTTGCAAAAGGAAAAGTAGCCTCATTGAACACCACATGGTGAGAGATATAAATACGTCCAGTGGTCTGATCAAGGCACCTGTAACCTTTATGAGAGGCACTGTAACCCACAAAAACACACTCAATAGAACGTGGCTTAGTTTATCGTGAACATAATCCCGAAGGTATGGAAAGCACATACATCCAAAGGTACGTAGGTGAGAGTAAGTGGGTGTCTAACCAAATAGAAGTGTATAGGGAGTTGACCAATTGAGGGTAGAGGTGGGGAGAAGATTGATGAGGTGGACAGAAGTGAGCGCTGATAGGAGCATATTTATGCGACTTAGTTAGCTTGTTCTTGTGCATTTGTGTTGTTATTTCTTAGTTAATTATGAATTTTAAGCTATTTTCATGTGTTTGTAGGTCATAATAACAAAGTTGGCAAGAAAGTGCATTTTGGAGCATTTTAGAGCATTTTTTAGCCAAGATTGGATAGTGCAAGCATGAGGACATGAGGATGGACATTTTTGAAGATTTGAAGGCTAGAAATCAGCATGTGTGTGTGCAAGTGTGTTGACCTACAACTCCAAACATCCATCCACTACACCCATTACATCCACTCATTACCAAACACTCATCCACTACACCCATTACATCCACTCATTACTAAACATCCACCCACTACACTCATTACATCCACTCATTACCAAACACTTATCCACTACACCCATTACATCCACTCATTACCAAACATCTACCCACTACACCCATTACATCCATTCATTACCACAACACTCACCCATTACACCCATTACATCCACTCATTACCAAACACTCATCAACTACACCCATTACATTCACTCATTACCAAACACTACTCATTACTAAAAACTCATCCACTACACCCATTACATCTACTCATTACCAAACATCCACCCACTACACCCATTACATCGACTCATTATCACAACACTCACCCACTACACCCATTACATCCACTCATTACAACTCCATACACTCCTCTCCCTAGCCTATAAATACATCCACCCTTCACCATAATTTGGGGGCCATCATACAAAGACACTACATTTCACATCTCACAACTTCATTCGCAAACACAATTTCCTTGTCGTGACCTCCATCCATTCATTTAGCCATACTACATCTCACCAATCCATACACTTTCATCTCTCAGCCGTGCATATCCATCCACTACTATAATTTACCACTCATCCATCAAACCACACCTTGTGCTGCAACAAAGAGAAGAAGGAAGACCCTTCGACGTGCTTGCCATTCAAGTTGGATTGTTGGAGCGTTTTTAGGTGTTTTCTTTCTTTTGTTCTCAATGTCTAAATTTGTTTATCTTTACTTTGTAAGTATGAGAAACTAAACCTCCTTAGCTAGGGGGGAATTCGAAACCATGTTCATGCTTGCAATATGATTTGGTTACTTTCAGTTGTGATTCATAAGTTGTGAATTCAATTTACTTATCCATTTGAATTAAAACTGATTTGTGTATGTTGGTTGAGAGTGCACGCTTAATTTTCATGCATAAATATGATGCTAGGATTAAGGGAGTTTCACCTAATCGTTATGAACTTATATTTACAAGTACTAAAGGTTGTTCGTCACAACCGTGTTAAGTAAATTCTTGGCATAAGTTTCATGCAATTCATAGTTACAAGTGTTTCGTCAATGCTTATGATTTTCCTAGAACTTAATGATTCTTACTTGTATCTCTATTATGCAATTCATGTAGGGAACTTGTGGGGAATGCTTTGGGTTGTTGTATGCAATCATCCAATTCAATGAAATTAGGAAAATCTGAGGATTAATTTAAGCGTACCTAATTAATCTGGGGTGTTGAGGTTCATGGTTTATTGAAAAGCAACTGGAAATCGTTTTATATGCAAGTGTGTCATGTGTGGAGAAAGACCTTCTAGCTAGCCCATCATCCATTCCAATCACCAAATTCGTCCAAAATCTGTTTTAAGTCTTTAATTACTTGTTTTTACTTAAATTCATCCAAAACCAAATCCCCCTTTACTTTAGAGTGTCTATTAGTCAGTACTTGTTTTAGATTGTGTTTTTAAGTGTTTTAAGTTAAAATAAAATCAATTTTCGTCCAAACTTTGTGTTAGTGGCAGAAACTGCCTTAGAGTTGTTTTTAGGCAGTTTTGAGTCTCTATAATCTGTTTTGAGTCTTGTGGCTTTGTTTTGAGTCTTGTAAGTTTAATTTCATGCTTTTAAGTTTGTTTTCACATATTTAAGTCAGTTTCAAGTGTTTTAGCAATCCCTTCTAATCTCCGGCCTAGAACGATCCCTACTTACATTCTTTACTACAATTGACAACAAGAGGGTTTAATTTGTGTGTTAAGTTAATTTTCGCATCAAGCGTAGCTTCCACCCACAAGGTGAGTGGGGTATGAGCTGTAGTAAGCAGTGTGCGAGTCATATCAGCAATATGACGGTGCTTACGTTCAGCAAGTCCATTTTGTTGGGGTGTGTGTGGATACGAAAGACGGTGTTGGATACCTAATTGACGACAAAATGCAGAAAATGAGTGATTAACATATTCGGTGCCGCCATCACTTTGAAAATATTAAATAAATGCGTTAAATAGGTTATGAGTCATTGCAACAAAGGTTTGAAAATGTGTAAAGACCTCATACTTCTTTTTCATGGGGTAAATCCAAGAATAACAAGAATAATCGTCAGTGAATAATACGTAATAACGAAAGCCAGAAACAGAGGTAGAAGTGGACATCCAAACATCAGAATGTATAATATAAAATGGAGTAGTAGCCCTTGCATTATTTAATTGAAAAAGGAAGTTGTGTGGACTTGCCTAAAGCACAACTTTTACAAAAATGCTTTGAAGAAAATGACGTAGAACCGAAACTAGAGCTAAGACGGGACAAAACCGAAGATGAAGGGTGACCGAGACGTTGATGCCAAAGGGTAAAGGATGAAGCGGCAAGGGCCTGTGGTGAGGAGAAGGATAATGGATAAAGGCCATCTCTACATGGGACTTGAAACAATAAAACACCAGAGTGTAAATCATAGATACGATAAAAGGATGGAAAGAAACAAATAACGACATTGTTATCATGTGTAAAGTATGTAACAGACAAGAGGTTTTTACGTAAGGCCGAAACAAGAAAGACATTACAAAGACTAAACGGAATAGAGTTAAGAGAGATAGGAATTGTACCAGTGGATGTAATGTTTAGAGAATCACCATTACCCAATTGAACGGAATTAGGACCACGATAAGGTTGTGGGTGGGGGAGGGCATTGGGATCGCCCGTCATGTGGTAGGTAGCGCCAGTATCGGGAAACCAAATGTTGGGATCCTAATAAGAAATCACCTGAGAGCCCTCAAAGGGGGGGAAAGGTTCGGGGCCGCCATAGCGGTGTGGACAGTGTGTAGCACTATGTTGCGAGGTGGAACAAGTGGGCCTGGCCCAGAAAAACCACGTGGGCCTGGCCAATAAATGGGAGCAGAGGGTCCATGCCAAGGTTGTTGATAATTGAATGGAGGAGGCCCATTCCATTGTTGTTGTTGGTTGCGGGAATTGGTATTCTTGCTAGGATGCCAGCCGGAGGTATTACACTGCGGACCATTGTTCCGTTGGAAACGACCGTTCTAATTTCCATCGTGACTGCCTGAGGACTGAGAAGAAGCACGGGGTTGGTGGGTAGTGATGAGGGCAATTTACAAAGCGGCAGACGTGGTGGAGGTGCGAAGGTTCTGGAGATCAAAAGCTTCAATCTTGGAGGTCAACTCCTCAAAGGTTAGAAGAATGGTGACGTTGATGATAGCAGTGGTAAGGGTAAGGTAGTCAGATCCAAGACCACGGAGAACAACGGTGATGAAGTCTTCAAGATCAACAGGACGGCCGATAGTAGCGAGTTTGTCAGCAAGAGATTTAGCATGTTGAAGATAGTCAGCAATAGAGCAAGATCTGTTGGAAATATCAAGCAGTTGGTAACGCAAGGCGACGGAGTTGAGGACAGGGTCGTAGGCGAAGCGCCGTTGAAGACATGCCCAAACGGCTTGGGCGGAGTCATGGCCCACAGTGAGAGCAAGGACAGGTTCTGTTAAGGTGGCGGCTATGTAGCTTACGACCAACTGATCGTGTTGGTACAAATGAGCGAAAGTGGGGTTGGGAAGAGTAAAGGTAGTAGTCACGAAAGAACTGTCGGAGTTAGTAGCGGCAGAGGAAGGGGTGGCAGTGACGGTGAAGGTGGCCGGAGGGGGTGGGTAGAAGCCATTAACGACCTTCCACAGATCATGACCAACAAGAAAGGGCTTGATCTGACGAAGCCATGTGAGGTAATTGGAGTCATTGAGTTTGAGAAACTGGGCAATAGCAGGGCCAGGAAGTGGGGAGGTAGAGGACATGATGGGAAGCGGATCGAGAAGGGTGGTTAAGCCGGAGAAAGGGATGATACCATGTAGAAATATATATATTCAGAGAAAGAGCACAGTAAACACGAAGCAGTAATATTGGTGGAAGACTTAACTTTCCATTGCTCATAATCAGGTATAAATATACCAGTTTACAAAGAGTCCTAAAGGGATTGTGTAGCTCCCAATACAAATCCTAACGGGATTACAAATCTCTAAGATAACGTGATAATATACATAAGATAATTATGGAGATTATGACAAGGGTATAGACGTGGAGGACTCTTTACTAATAGTAAGTTTCTACCAATGATGCTATCCTACAAATCACAAAAGAAATGTGCATGAATAGTTTTCAATAGTTTCATGGTTCCAAAACTTTGATACAAACATGATAACTTATACAGAAATTCCACTTACCATCTCCTTCTTGATTCTCTTCAACTCTTTGTCCGTCAAAGGCTCCATATCAAAATCATAATAGAACCCATTTTCTATCCATGGACCAATTGTCACTTTTGCATCCGGGAAGAGCTTTTGAACAGCCATGGCCATCACGTGTGCACACTGCAGTCAAACACATATAAATGGTTCATCACCATAACAGCGGAAAAGGCGCCATTAATACCAAACTACAAGAAAATTCAGAAAAAAATGAACATGGCTCGACCTCAACACTTTATCAAAATACAGAAACCCATGTATCTTCTCACATTCCCAAAAACAGGATGAAATTTTTCCCAACTTATCTACCGCTGTACACCCATTTTTCCATGTCCTATGCGATCAAATTTCAAATTACCGAAAAGTTAGGTTCTTATTTTCTTCATCCTCACTTTCTCATTCTTCACAATAGAATCAGGTGACCATTAGTAACGCAGAATTGAAAATAGTTAATTAAAAGCATCAAACTTTCAAAAAGGGAAGCTCCTAAGAATCTAAAAATTCAAAAAATTCAACAGGAAAGCACCCTACTTCAATTTAACATAAAACAATCATAAATCCAATCCAAAGCAATGAAATTTCAATAAATACCGTGTGTCGAATTATGATGAGGCTTTCGGAGGACTCGTTGGTTGGAAGCACGACTGTCTCAGGCTTATCAGCTACCTCCATCTGGGCATCCTTCAATTTGTCGTCTTGGGTCGAGACCTGAGCCTCCGTGGCCATCGCCGAGGAGGTGGAGACTCCAGTTCTACCGCCGTAGAAGGACAGAGACCTGAACTCGGAGCTTGGTGTTTAACTGGGGAAAGCAAAGAAGATTATTGAGGAGAGGGATTAAGAGGAAGGAAGAAGAAGTGGCCATTGCCATTCTCTGAAGGATTAACATCTGGGTTGTGTTTGGATTTCAGAATTATGATTGGGTTCGTGTGTAACGGTGGAGGGTGAGTGAGAGTGGCGTTCGTGACTAGGGATGGCCCGCGGTTACATGCTCATTTGGGTAACTGTTTAAATAAATAAATGGTTATAGGTATAATCGTTCATCTGTAAAATTTAAATGGTTGGTTATGAGTATTAATCACGATTATAAACGAATAACTGTTTACCTATTTATTTTATATATGTAAAATTAATACAAATCATGTTCTCTATCAGACAAAACTTAGATCAATACTATTGACTATAATGTGGTTTATATAGTAGTGTTTTAATTAATTAAAAAGTAATCAACGATGATCCATGGAGTATTTCTATTCTTAAATTGAATAAATCAAAAGAAATTTAAGTGAGAAAACTAAACGGGAGCGCACTGAAATCATTTCCCTTGCGGTATGCATGCATTAGATTTAGTTAAGATGTTAGTCAAATTTACGGTGGAATTACAGGGTAGAGCCTCTGTGTCTCAGTCAAAGCTACTAAGACATACTGCATTTTATTAAGGGCATCTTCATTAAGATTGTCTGCAAGTTCAACAATGCTTGAGTCATCTTTCAGATTTGCTGCTTCTCAAACTTCTGTTACAACCTTTTCTTGCATATAAGGGTGCTTGCTGAGCATATAAATAACCCACGTACGAGTGCACGCCGTTGTGTCTTTGCCGGAAATTATTTCAATTATTGGAATGAGATAAGGATTTAAAAAATTAAAATACAGAAATGTATGATGAATGTGCTTATAACGGTGTTTAATTGCCAAAAAAAATTATGACATTTTTTTTTTAATTTTCAAGTTGTTAAAAACCATGTATAAGGGTGAAAAAAGAGGTAATGGTAAAAAATAAATAAAAAATAAACGGGTTAAAAAGAGTAAATGAGTAAACTGGTATTAAACGATTATGGTTAAATGGGTATGCTGTTATGGATATGGTTAACCGTTTATAAATGGTTATGAGTATGAGTATAACTGCTTGGGCAATTACCCAATGGGTAAACAATTATGCGGGTATAAGTATAAATGGTTATGGGTAAATAACCGCGGTTACCCGTCCGCCGTTGCCCATCCCTATTTGTGACTTCGTTTGTGGTGGAGGTTTGGCTTTCGGTTTTTGTCCCTCGAACGCCTTAGAAAAGGCGAAGATCAAGAGCGACTGAAGCAGAGGCTTGTGAGATAGAAGTTGAAACGAAACGAAAAGTCGAGAGGTTGCAGTCGAAGCAAACCTTTCGACAATGATGGACACGTAACCCATCCCCTCACCAGATCCCACACAGCCGGCGATCCAGCGATGATCAACGCGTGGATCGAATAATCGAAAAAATTCCAATGAACGGAAATAACCGTAAAGACAAAAACCTTTCTAAGCCCAATGGCAAATTTGCAAATAAATTAAATGAAGGAAACAGAAAACTCAATGAATTATCGTAAGTAGAACTGAAATGTCCAAAATTGCATAATGCCACATAACCCTAGTTAGACTAAAGTAATAGCATAACTCTTAAAATTCAAAGGGGATTGGAATTGTAAAATTATCGGTCACGATCCCAGTCATTTTGGAAGTAAGGACAGAAATGGATAAAAACATTTGAATTTCAGTTTTAACATCCATTTTAGGAAATTTTCAAATATAGAATGGATTAAATCCCCTTTTGAAGTTTCATGTTTAACATCTTTTGTAATATACAATCAAAAGAATAGCATACGGGCATTTGAAGCTCAACCAGAAGACAAGTTTTGTAAAGATTTTTCAGGAAGTGGATATCAATTTTTTAAATCAAGAGAATCAGAATCTTGAAAAGGTGAATTTGCAGTAAATATTTCAATCACCACAATTACCATATTATTAGTAACATCCTTTTGAAATCTCACGTTTCTAAACGGTCAACCCAATACTTCTATGGCTATAATTAGTATTGACTTTGGTTCTATTAATCATTTAAAGTTTGTAATTTTTGGCTAAAAACCCAACTTCTTGGTCCTAACTTGCATTCATATTTGGGGAGTACATTAAGATTGGCTAAATAGCCAAAAATGTCCTTAAGATTTGGTCGGTCTTTTCAAATCGAAAAACTCCCTGAGAAGTGTCCCGGAGTTTGGCCTTTAGAAGTTTTTGGACCCGGAGTTCTTTAGAAGCTTCATAACATAACTCTTTTCTTAAACCAAATTAATAAACAAATGAAGATAGGAAAGTGTAGAATAAGAATTATACCTATTTGGAAGCCCAATGCTGCCGGGATAGCCCGAAAAATAGCTCAAAGTTGACTGGTCCGAAGGAAAACTGAAAACTCACCAGAAACTGAGTAACTTTAAAATGTTCATAACTTCTCAATACTCACGAAATCAAGTTTATCAAAACTAAATCATACTTCTCGACGATAATAAGAGAATGGTACCTATTTTGAAGGCTATCACTGTGGTTTGGCCCAAAACGGTTCTAAAATGGCTGTCTTAGTCTCGAGTTAGAACACTTATTAGCCTTTATGGGCAATTTTAACTGTCTAAAAAGGGTGACCAATTCTTTATATTCGTCTCATGAGAAGTCCCTGATTTTTGTTTTGAATCACCAAAATTAGTTTTATTATTAATCTTATGAAACGTTTAAAAGTTTAACCCAGTAGTCAAGTTTTCCAATTTTCCCCATCAGACCAGTCAACTTTGAAGGCTATTTTCGTCTATTCGCGGCAGCCAGGGCTTCCCATCTTATTGGGTAAAACCTAAAAAAAATTATTTTCGTTTAGGGAAAAAAAAAGAAAAAAAACAAAATCTCTTCTATTTGCATAACTCCCTTTTTGGGCTTCGCAAATCGGTAAAAGGAGGCAGTGACATTCCACCATGGAGGGAGGCTCCCTTCCAGGGGCTTTGATATTGGCGAATTTGGTTAAGTTAGTGTTGCGAACTTTTTCTGTGTGGGTTTTCCAAAGCTTTGACTATTTAGCCTTAATAATTGGATAGAAGTGTAGAATAAGATTATACCTATTGAGCCCAATGGCTGCCGAGATAGCCCGGAAAATAGCCTCAAGTTGACTGGTCCGAAGGAAAACTGGAAAACTCACCAGAAACTGAGTAACTTTAAATTCATAACTTCTTCAATACTAAACGAATCAAGTTATTCAAAACTAAATCATACTTCTCGACGATAATAAGAGAATGGTACCTATTTGAAGGGTAAATTCACTGTGGTTTGGCAGAAAACGGTTCTATAAATGCTGTCTTAGTCTCGAGTTAGACACTATTTAGCCTTTTATGGCCAAACCACCGCAATTTAAACTGTCTAAAAAGGTACCATTCTCTTCGTCTCATCGAGAAGTATGATTTTTGTTTTTGAATCACTTGATTTAGTTTAGTATTAAAGAAGTTATGAACGTTTAAAGTTTACCCAGTTTCCGGCGAGTTTTCCAATTTTCCCTCAGACCAGTCAACTTTGAGGCTATTTTCCGGCTATCTCCGGCAGCCATTGGGGCTTCCAAATAGGTATAATCTTATTCTACACTTTTCTATCTTCATTTAAAAAAAATATTTTTCGTTTAGGAAAAAAAAAGGCTAAATAGTCAAAATAGTCCCTGAGATTTGCATAACTCTTCACTTTGGTCCCTAACATTTCAAATCGATAAAAGTGGTCCTTGAGATTGTCCACCATCCATCATTTTGGTCCTTCCGTTAAAAACTCCGTTAAGTGTCCCGGAGTTCTTGGGCAATTTTCAAAGCTTTGTAACTTAATCGTTTCTTAACCAAATTCGACCCATAAAATATCAAAATGAAGATAGGAAAATATATAATAAGATTAAACCTATTTGGAAGCCCAATGGTTGCTGGAGATGGCGGGAAAATAGCCTCAAAGTTGATTGGTACGAGGGAAAACTTGGAAACTCGCCAGAAACTGGGTAAACTTTAAACGTTCATAACTTCTTGAATACTCAACGAAATCAAGTGATTCAAAAACAAAAATCATACTTCTAGATGAGACGAAGATGTACCTTTTTTTTGGGCTAAATCGCCTTGGTTTGGCCGGAAAACGGAGGCAGTGACATGGCGCCATGGAGGGAGTTTGGTTTGTATTGCAGATTTGTTCGATTTTTGTGTTGTGGGTTTGTTTCTTACTTGTGGGTTTGTATTGCAGATTTAGGGTTTTCAAGTCTTGGTTCTTAAAGGATTTAGCATTAAGGACTTTATGATTTACAAAGGTTTCTGTTCATATTGTAGATATGGATGATTTGTTTGATGCAGCCATCATTGCGAGTTGCCCTAGTTTTAATTCAAGTTCCTTCTTTAATTTCTTAGTTCATCGGAAACAAAAAGTAAAATTACTCTTCTTTATATTTTTGACAAAAATAAAAAAGATTTAAAAAAATCACGGAAAAAACCGAACCGGAACCAAAAAAAAACCAAAACCGAAAAAAAAAATTGAACCGATTTGAACCGAACCTAGCCCTAATTCGAGCCTTTTATTTTTAGACTATTTAATTTGTCATAAATTCATTGATCAAGTAAGGTCTTCATTTTAAAGATTTGTGAGGACCAAATGTATATTAGCCACAAGATTATATTAGTTTGTATTCAAAAGCTTAAATATTTGACAACTTAATAAAACCAAAAAAGAAAATGAGTTTTCTAATGGTTCATGGATTTTAAGTTGGTTTTTCTTTATTAAGTTGTCAAATATTTCAAGTGATCTATACAAACATAATTTTGTAACTAACATACATTAGTCTCACATATCCTCAAAATTCTTACCTTAGGCCATCTTCAACCGAAATGACTGAACAATATCGCGTCATACTTATATACCGTCACTGAAGTGGCTAAACATAACCTTCTCAATAATTACTTAGTTTTAAGTTTATATATTAAATTTATCGATTAATTTAATTAAACTTCCATTAAATGTTTTCAAACATAGTTGTTGAATTTGACTCAAATAGTGCAGTAGAGGAGCTGAGCTCCAAAAAGGGCTAAGAAGGGGGGCTACATTTGGCCAACCCAATGCCCCTTTAGCCAAATGATGGCTTGATGAGCTCCATAGAATTTTAGTCTAGCTATCCATC